TTACTTAACAACGCCATCTATCGGTTTCGCCGTTAAACAAAAACAAACAACAACTTATCTTTAGACTTATACGACTCTTATGTTAACTTACATTTCTATGTCTTATGTGCATTTCTTTAATTATAATAATATTTGGTGGTTTATCTGGACAGTAGGCTTGTAATGTTAATTCATATTTTAGTATCTTTTTACACAAAAAAAACTATACAATTCAAATTCAACGAAAGATAAACAAATTAAAACAAACGAAATACAAGAAAAAAAAAATGTCCATCACTTCCAACCTAACAACAAAGATGGGAACGTAAATGTGGGAGTGAGCAGCATCAATCCCAAGCAAATCTGCCGTCTAAATAATCTGTAATAGTGTAGTAAGCCTTTTCACACAGTTTTAGCATTACTAAAGACTTAAATTTGTTAATACTAAATTCATGAAATTTGCTTCATATATGTATTGAGATGCGACTGTCACGATAATAAATTTCTTTAAACTAATTTTCAATTCGTCACTAATTAGATAGGGTTATAAATTGTTTTACTCATAAATAATAGTGAAAATATGCGAATTTGCTAAGACTTAATATTTAATACATACTGTGACAGTTACCGGCAAGTGATTTTTGAATTATCATCATTCCAGAGGTATAATTTTTAAGATATATGACAGTGTTTACGTGTTCATCTCAAACGTAAGTGGTTTCAAATATTTGCTACAGTCAAAAGTTCATGCAAAAGTAACCTTAATCTAGTTCGGTGACACAACGACTTTGCGTAATTATTTTATCTTTTTCTGTCTACCTTCACTATATTTTTCGTTTTAATTCCCATCATATAACTTTCTCAATCCTTGCTTATCACATTTCATTTCGATTTATCAACTATGATGACACGTAGAGCTTTGGCTGCTCGCCTAGAGGAGTCCAAACTCCAATTGGCGTTGAGCAAGCTAAAAGAGTCTAAGCAGTTGTGTGACCAGCTGATTGCGGAAAGAGATGATAATGAGAAAGAATTACTAGGTATTAGACCTAGTAATTCTTTCTGAAAGAGATGATAATGAGAAAGAATTACTAGGTCTAATTAAAAAAAAATAAGAATGTTAAGTTAGAACTAGCCCAGATTCACGGACTGCATGGATGGCGTAGTGGTTTTAGCAGTCGCCACGCCGCTTCCTACTACGCCGAGTGTTGTGGGTTCAAACCCCACATGGGACGACACTTTGTGTGATCCACAAATTGTTGTTCTGAGTCTGGGTGTTCTTTGTGTCCGTTTCATGTGTTTGTAATGTCCCCCGCGACACAGGATATTTTCCTAATGCGGGAGTTGTCTTTTTAAAAAGAATAAAAAAAAAAAGAATTCATACACAATGCACTGAAGCCATTGCTGCCCGGGATAGGCTTCAGCTCATTGTGGATGGGTTCAGCCGGTGCAGTGCTGAGTATGAGCATGCTCTGGATCGTATAAAGCATTTAGAACGTCAATTGGATGAGTCAAACACTAAAATATTGCAGTTAGAAATGTCTATGTCAGTTAATATATTATCTATACACCTGGCTGTGGTGGCAGTGATCCTAGTAGGCTCCAAAAAAATATTATCAAGATTATATGACCCAAATAGGTTTTTAAATTTTAAACTCAAATATGTATCTCCCAATATATTTACATTAAAATCACCACACACAATTACACTTTTGTTTGATTTACATACTTTCTGTAAGACTTCGTTCATCATTTTTTCAAAACTAATATATGATGAGGATGGAGGCCTGTGTACACTCAATATAATAAGTTGCTCTAATTCCACACATGCTATTTCTGATGTCCGCTCAACAGAGAAGCCTGAAATCTCAGTACGGTTCCTATAAGTTAAATCCTTTCTAATAAAAAATAATGAACCGCCATGTACAGCATGCTCCCTACTACTACTGAACGAACTACCTAATATATGATTACTGAAGTTAAACATGAGCTGATGACTTTTTTGACAATGTTCTGTAATACAAAGAATATCAATTTTGTCATAGCTCATGAACAATTCAATTTCTAGGTGCTTACTAGACATTCCTTTAATAATTTGATGCGCTACAGTGAAAGTGTTGGTTGTACATTTCTTTTATACCATTCTGTATGGTAAATTTAAGCTAGAGGTTACCTCTTTTGTCCCTAAATCTAGTTTAAAATATGTGAATTCATAGCCAAACGCTTTGCTGGATCAATATAAGTTGCCTGTGCAACTGTTTTAATAGCCAAGTTTTTGGCTGTTATATCAATAAAATAAGATAGCGATATTGCTAACTGTCGTTTACAAAACAATTAAAAGATAACACCTATCTTTCGTCATATATAAATATTATCTAACATAATTGTTAGTGTTAATTATATGAAACTTCATTTTGTAATTTGACATGTTGTGTAACAGCATATTTAACTTATACCTAAGGTTATTTTCTTCCTCCGGCAAGCCTTTGCTATATGGCAGTGTAAATATGATTGTCTGTTTCAAATTAAATGCACATAATTTATTATAATAATGCAGCAAACTCTGCCTATCTAATTTTCCTCTATTTCCAATTAAAACTATCAAAATTGTATTATGGCTGAACTTAAGACTGGAAATTTTTGTTAATATTTGACAATAATCTAAACCAGGCATACATAAATTAGTTATTAATAAATCACTGCACATATTTCCCAGCAACTGACCCATACCCTTCCCAATCTTTTCACTGAATATTACAATTTTATTTCTTTTAAAGGTTTTTGAGTTGTTCTTTGTTATAAGAGATGTCTTTTTATTTCTATAATTTTTTCGGATAGCATTTTATTAATTTGTTGTACTAACTCCTTTTTTTGTGTATGTGGTAAAGGGTATTGTTTAACATAAATAGGAGTGGTATTCGGTTTCAACGTAATGGTCTGTGGGTCGATATTCGAACATGATAATTTATACCCCGGTAAAAAATATACATCTGATCAAATATTCTGAATCGACCTCCTTTCTTCTTTATTTAAATAAGACAATTTTATTTGTGGCAGTAAACTTTTAATTCTTGCTCCGTCAACCACTGAATCACCAAAATGAAATAGATTATAATCCTTTAATTTCCGGGTTAAAATAGCTAAGATAAATGACATTTTCTCTTGTATTTAATATTTGTATTGGTATTTTACCATTTTTGGGCATGCATATACCTCCCGCTAAATAAATACCTTTACAAAGTTCATTCGGTACAACCATACATTCCTCACTTTGATTCGTTTCAATATAAACAATTTTTTCGCAACGAGATGGGATCGTCAAATAAGTATTCTTACCCAACTTACCTAAATGTAACGGTAAACATAAAGATTGTGAATGATCTAAAATAAAAGTAATTGTATTCAATTCCAAGTCTATGTTTTTATTATATTTAGAGAGAAAATCTAACCCTACTATCCCGTGATGTACACATGTCAAGTTTCGTAGTACGTGGAATTTATGCGAGAGTTCACTACCATTAATAGAAAGGGTAATGTAAATAAAATCTTCTGTTACTAACTGTCCTCCGATACCATTTATAGTAATGGAATGATTGTTATGGATTGGAATGTTCAGCCGAGTTACCGTTTCACATTTCACGACTTATATTGTGGCGCCTGTATCTATGAGCCATCGGTAGTTATTATTTTTGACGAATATTTCTACTGAATTATTATAGTTATCACGAAAATTTTATATGTTAGCCTTGAAAAAATTCTTGTGAGTTTAAATAATTTCCCGTCTGATTTTGCTGTGGTAAAGAAGTCCTTAGTTACCTCAAACATACGGATATTATTATTATTGCCTCTTGGACGTGAATTATAATAATTGGTATATTTACCTCTATCGTGGTAGCCTCGCCCTGAATGGCGTCCTTGACCTGTCCTTACGAAACTGCGAGAATGCTCCGGTTGGTTATGGAATTGATGAGCGGGCCTCATGGCAGCATTACAACCTCTGTGACAACCACGGAACCTGCCACGACCTTGAATACGATTATTATTTTTACCTGATCGTCCTCGATACATATACATAGAGATCTCTGACTCGTGTTGAACTGTCGAAATTTCTTCGTCCTAGGCTGCTTTTATCGCATCCTTTAATGTAGAGTAATTCCTAGCTAAAAGTATAACACTTAATTTCTGATTCCGTAGACCGTCGGTGAAACGTTTTACCGCTAGTTTTTCATTAATCGGTTTTAAAACCTTGTAGGCGCTTTGGTAACCGTCGGCCTGCGAGATCGTCAAATCAGTAAATACCTGTTCTAATTTTTTACCAAAATTATCAATTGAATCGATGTACTGTTTAGTACGAACCAATTGCGAATGTAACGCAGTACTCGACTTTTTAGTGAGTAATATGTTTTTCATGTCATCGATAAGCAACTTGCAGTTATCATAAGATTGTGAAAGTCGAAGTTTCGAAGTTCTCCATGGTGCTTTGCTGTTCAACAAACCTACCCTTACAAAATTCCTCTATTTTCGAATACAGAGTTTCAATTCGAACGGACAATTCTTTGATAGAAACAACGTCACTTCCCTCTTTAATATTATCTCCTATATATGTAAATCTAATTCTTCCGAACATAAAAGATATCGTTGGTACAAATTATTTGCTTCTAATAATTTCCCACTTAAAATTTTCTCAGTTCTTTTGCTTTTACCTAGTTTAAAAAGATTATCCTTCAGTTTCGAAATATTTTCATAAATTTCTCTGAGGTCCTCTATCATTATATTAGTGTGTTAACTATTCTAAGTTATTTGTTTACATGTATAAATTTGGGTACACAGAATACGCATATTTATGAGCGTACACAAAATTTATTGTAAAATTATTGAATAAACAAAATTATAGTATATACGAGTAAGCAGTAGTTGGTTAATAAAAGTAAAATAAGAAGAAAACCTTATAGTTATAGTACGACACTGATCTTCACTCATCACTAATCACTAACACTCAGGGTTCGCTTTTTTTTGTTTTTTGTTCACCCTTCACATACCGTTGCCGTCATCCGGATCACAAATACCCTGTCGTCAGGGGGAAGATACAGGGATGTTGTATGATGCGCCGCTAGCGGGTACGTCTCTTTTTCAAGTCCTCGTGCAAAGCCAAATGATCTTCGAAAGGTCGCATTATACCTAGCAATATCATTCCTTACTGTTTTCTGGTGGCACCTTTTAAATATATGATACGCTCCATATAGCATAGCGATTCCCAGCATAGTCAAAATCGTAGTAAGTATAACGTTCAGCGTGGTAAGGTGAAATGCCACTTCTTTTTGAGAAGCACTGGCGTCATTATTACCACCTGATGCGGTTTGGGCGATTATGACTTCTTCTGGTTTAGATTGCTGTTTCCCCATTCTTACAAAAAAATTATGAACACCGCTCTAAACAATAGTTCGTCTCTAGAAAATTTAATTAATAATGACACTGTTGTAATGTTCCACATGATGATCGTGTTGCAGTGCAATTTTAAACACAGCGCGTAACCCGAGACGATCCTGGCAGGGTCGCCATGTACGGTTCGGACTATAAGAAATTGATGTGTCTTGAGAATACGTTTATGTTTATTGTCACAGGTTTACATTCTGACTAAATGAATACTCGTACATGGTTATATATTGGCGTGCTCTATACACCACATCAAAACTGACGGCCAACGCCACTCCCGACAGACAACCTCTTCCGACAAGGAGAGGACGCGTTCCATCGCGTCTAGCGTCGATCGTCCCTGTCGGAAGCATTATTATTATAGTAGTATTGCCGCCTGTATCAACCAGCATCTGTCACGAGTGGGTCCTGACTAATCAGACAACCTAAATTGGTTGTCTGATAAGTCAGGACCCACTCGCGACAGGTGCTGGTTGATACGGGCGGCAATAACTCTTTCGAAGAGTTTCGCCGCTTCGTCCAGCAGGCACATAGGTCGGAAAGCCGAGGGAGAATCTGCATCCCTGCCAGGTTTCTGGATAAGTACCAGCCTGCCTTCCTTCCAGCCGGAAGGGAATATGCTATTACGGAGGCAGCTGGTAAACAGCCGCCTCAGTTTATTCCCTACCGCCACCGCCACCCATCGGAAACCCATCGGGAACCCATCAGGGCCCGGGGCGGTGTTGCGAGTCGTTTTACGGTCACGCTCTTCCTCCGTCACGTCGAAGTGTCGACGGTGACGGAGAGCATTAGGGACTCCCCTGGTTCCTGGGGAAGAGGGAAATATATCTACCACTCTTCCTACAAACTCCGGGTCCAAGGTCTGTGTCAGTGGTGGGACCCACGGTCTGAGCTTGCCCAATACAATTTTGTACGGGCGCCCCCATGGGTCCCTGTCCAGTCCCTCTACGAGCTCCTTCAAGAACCGAGCCTTAGCTTCCGCGATCGCGAGGCTGATAGCCTTCGCAGCGGTGCCGTACTCCCGCCTCGCTTCGGCGATCTCCTCGGCTGAGGCTCGCCGTATTCTTCGGGTTCTCTGAAACCGGCGACGGGCTCTCGAGCATGCTGTGCGAAGCTGCTCGAATTCCGATGTCCACCAGTACACAGAACCCCTCCTGCCCCCCGGCCTGACCCGTGGCATTGACGTGTCACAGACATTAGTCATGATGCCACGGAACCAGGCCGACTGCGCTTCCGGATCGGACGAGACCCGTTCTTCCTCTTTCTCTGGCCAATCCGCGACGATGGCTGCGGCGACAAGCATATCTCCGTTCATCCGCCTGAGGGCCCATCGTCGCGGAGGGCAGCTACTGCGACGGTCTGCTCCTGCGTCCGGGCGGCGGATGGCCACATCGTAAAGGATGTGGCGGTGATCAGATAAAGTGACCACGTCCTCCGCCACCCTCCATTCTGACACTTGGTCGATGACCGAGGGAGTCGCCTACGTCAGGTCGACGATCGACTCCCCTTGCCACCGCACGCAGGTGCTGACGGAACCCCGGTTCACAATGCCCAGGTTCAGTCCTGCCGCCCACTCAATGAGTGTATCTCCTCTTGCGTTGTCCAGGCGATCTCCCCACTGTGTGGAGCGGGCGTTGAAGTCGCCCAAGACAAGTACCGGACGGGACAGAAAAGTGCAAATACAACTCCTGAGTCTCGCCTCTGAGTCTGACGCCTCGAATACGGTGAGGCCGCAATTAGGTGATACGAGTATGTAGTGTTGGTAAATAAGAACTTAACCACATTTGTTATAAGCTGGCAACAGTTTTTTCTTTCTGTGCCCTTTTTAAGCCTGTAACCGTTCTACTAAGAATACACGTTCGTTGCATTTTCTCAAAACGTTTACTTATTTCCACCTAAATATCAACATGGTAGCAGAGCGTGGTTGATTGCTACTTGTGGAAAAAAAAAAGATAAACGCAGTGATAACTAAGAAAACCGGCCGGCGTGTTTTGTACAATCATACATTTTGAGGTTAACTGGGGCGGCGTGCTCGGTCAGAAATCACATAAAAATCATAAATACGTATAGAAGATGTCGAATTCAAGTTACAATCCATTTCATATTGACAGATTAGTTGGAAGAGATAATTATGCCAGTTGGAAGTTTGCAATCCAAGCATATTTTGAACTCGACGATTTATGGAGTTGTGTCACCGGTACCAATACAGATCAAAATAAGAAAACCAAGGCGAAATCTAAGTTGATTTTATTACTGGACCCTATCATTTACGTACATGTTCAGAGTGCAACTACTTGCAAAGAAGTCTGGGAGAGTTTGGAACAGGCTTTTGATGACAGCGGGTTGTACAGGAGAGTAGCCTTGTTGAGAGATATGATTACGACTACATTGGAATCTTCTCGAAGCGTAGATGATTATGTGAATAAAATAATGTCAACCGCTCACAAGCTCAGGAATATTAAGTTTGACATCGACGATGAATGGCTTGGCACACTGATGTTAGCCGGGCTCCCTGAAGCTTATAAGCCCATGATCATGGGACTGGAGAGCTCTGGCATCAAGATAAGTGCTGATTCTATTAAATCTAAACTCTTACAGGAAGTTCAATGCTCCGATAATTCAGCATTCTTCACAAGGAAAAAGGTCATTCAAAGAAATCAACATGATTCAACAAATGTCAACAAAGGACCCCGATGTTACAATTGTAACAAGCATGGACATTTTGCTAAGAATTGTCGTGGTTCAAAAAGGAAGAATGTAGAAAATACAGAAAAAAATAAAGGTTTTGTTGCAGCTTTTTCAGCAACTTCTCAGACAATGGACCTATCGTATGTGGACTCGGGTGCCTCCATGCATATGACAAATAGAAGTGACTGGATGTATGATGTCACAAGTCCACCGATACCCACAATTACTGTTGCCAGTAAGACACCCCTACCTGTGGAAAGTACAGGAAAGGTCAATTTATTGCTAAATTGTAATAAAGTAAGTAAAATACAATGGAATGTATAAAACAAGTTTTATACATTCCTAAACTTGCTGCAAACCTCTTGTCAGTCAGTGCTATGGTGAAAAATGGCTGTATTGTAAATTTTAGAGATGAAGGTTGTGATATCTATGATAAAAATGGCAAGCTCCTGTGTTCAGCTACACTAGTAACCATTTATATTTATTAAACACACACAGAGAAGTATTTTCTAACTTGTCTTGTTCAGATAACTTAAATGATTTTGTCCTGTGGCATAGACGCATGGGACACCTGAATTTTTCAGATCTCAATAAGGTGCCGGAATGTGCCGAGGGAGTTCAGCCATTCTCAGACAAAAATAAAGTTTCTATTACATGTACTACCTGTCCCTCGGGGAAACAAACCAGATTGCCCTTTAATAACATTGGTTCAAGATCTTCACAACCACTGCAGCTGGTTCACACTGATTTATGTGGTCCAATGGAGCAAGAATCTTTGGGAGGTATGAAATATTTTATTACGTTCATAGATGATTACACAAGACGAGTTCATGTTTATTTTTTGAAAAATAAATTGAATATTCTGGAAGTTTTCAAAGATAAAAGTAATTCGTTCTGATAATGGAAAAGAATACTGCAATAGAATCAGAATCAGAATCATTTATTTGTAAACATAGGTCAATTTACAATAGAGTGTGAGATGGATGGAGAATTTGAAAACTTCTTGAACAAACATGGGATTGAGCATCAAACAAGTGCTCCGTACTCACCCCAACAGAATGAACAGAAGCAGAGCGAATGAACAGGACTCTGGTGGAAAGAGCAAAATGTATGTTGTTTGGGGCTCAGCTTGCAAAAGAGTTCTGGGCGGAAGCCCTTGCAACGGTAGCGTATATAATTAACAGATCACCAACAAAATCAATTAATGGTAAAACTCCTATGGAGATGTGGACTGGTAGGAAACCCAACTTGTCTAATTTAAAAGTATTTGGCTGTGAAGTAATGACCCAAGTTCCAAAAGAAAAACGCCAAAAATGGGACTTCAAATCCAGAAAGTTATTATTTGTTGGGTATTGTGAATCTACCAAAGGATACCGAATACTTAATCCAGATACCAATAAAATCATTAAACAGTGGAGATGTAGTATTTTTGGAAAATGTGGAAAAATATGATAATAAAATATACTTACCTCGTACATCCAACAGCAGCAGTCCAGAGATACAGCCACTCAAAGTGTTAGTGTTATATAAAAATACCAGTAATGCCATCTATTATGTTACTCAGTAGTTACTATTATACGATTGTATGACATGAATGTTCTGGAATGAAATCACTCTCGAAATCAGTCTCACAGAGAAACGTTGTTTAATTTATAGGTTATGGGCCCAGCCCAGTCTGCCCAGTCTGTCCAGTGTATTTAGCTTATATTAATTATTAGTAATTAGTAAATTTAATTAGTAATTTTAATTATTAGTAAGAAACATAGCAAAGTGTTGTGTGATTCTATATATCTTGCAATAAAAGTTTACAAGAATGACAACGAACTACCTTTTTTTTTTTTTTTTTTTTTTCACGCGGGGAATGCTTTTCGCACCATACCCTCCGTTGGGGAAACGCAGGGCGTGTGTGGGACTCCCGGAGAACCGGTCTACCCAATAAACCCCGCGGCGGCCTACCTCGGCAGTCGGGAGGAGCTCCAGGAACGCATCGGCTACTTCTGGAGTCCTCCCCTGCCGTACCTCATGTCTGAGGCACATCCCGGAGTGACCGTAGTCACCCTGGGGCAGGACGCTATCGCGCCTCTCACTGCTCTACAGAGTAAAAGGCGCAACGGCGTCCCGCCTTAGACGACACCCCCCCGGCCGCACCGGAGTGTCATCCATCTCGGGTCGTTTACAGCGGTCACATCGCCCCAAGATGTGGCCGCAGCGACCCTTAGGCAGCGATTGGGGAGTTAGCGACCTCTGCCGCGTCCCCTTCGCCGCCTCCTGCGAGCGGGAT